AATTTTATTTTATTTATTTATTTGGTACCGGGGATTGAACTTAGGACCTTGCGCTTGCAAGGCAGGTGGTGGAACCACTAAGCTAAATCCCCAGCCAAGTTCATTAGTTTTTTGAGACAGAGTCTGGCTATGTAGTTCAGGCTGGCCTTGAATTCTCTATGTAGCCCAAGCTCGCCTTGAACTTGTGGCTGTGCTCCTGCCTTAGCTTCCTGAGTGCTGAGATTACAGGCATGCACCATGCCTGGCACCTTTTTATCTTTTATTTTGAGACAAGGTCTTGCTAAGTTGCCTGGGCTGGCCTCAGACTTGCTATTCTGCTTCAGCCTTCTAAATTGCTGGGATTACAGATGTACACATCATGCCCAGCTAAGAATATATTTATAAGTAGCCAATTTAAGTTTTAGTCCATAGTAGGGTATGCAATACCACTTTCATTTACTGTCTGTAAGCTGCAGCAAGCTCCTTCCTACTGATTAAAAGAAATTCTCTCTTAGTTATTGGAATATAGGTTTCTTTCTTCTCTTTGTGTGGAACCAGACAGGAATCCCACAATCCCATTGTTCCTACCTCTTAGCATCTCTCAGCCATTCCCCGTCTGGTGCCCTGAGAGTGTGAGGCCTTGGATGGTAGACTCTGTCCTCACAAATCACCAGCCTCTTCCCTGGCCAGGTTGTTTTATTTCCTCTTTTTTATTTTTGGTGGTACTGGGTATTGAACCCAGGGCCTTCACACTGAACTGCATCCCCAGCCCTTTTTTACTTTTTATTTTTGAGTCAAGGTCTTGCTGAGTCACTAAAACAGGCTGGATTTGAACTTGTGATCCTCCTGCCTCAGCCTTCCAGAATGCTGGGATTATAGACCTGCACCACCATGCCCAGTTCATGTCATTTTAAAAATGCTTCCAGATCATTCCATCATGTATATAGTTATATATAATTTGCTTATAGGTAGCATGAAATAACCAGCTTTGTGTCTTCAACTTTTGCTATATTTTGCTTAGATTCTGGAGTTGGAATTACTAAATCAAAGGGCATGGCTTTTTTGGGCCACTGCCAGATCATGCTATATTAGTAGTCTATCACGGTACACCACAAGCTTAGCATCTTGAAAGTACACCCATTATTAGCTCACGGTTCTGTAGGTTGGAAGACCAGACACGGCTCAGCTGGTCCTTTGTTCGATGTCTCACTGTCACAAATCAAGGCAGCACCCAGCTGTGTTCTCTCAGAGGTTTCATTTAGGAGGAATCTACTTCCTGGTTGTTAACTAAATCCAGTTCCCTGGGGTTATAGGACTGAGCTGTTTCTTGCTGGTTGTTACTGCTGGCTGAGGGCTTGCTCTCCACCCCTGGAGGTCATGAAGATTCAGGCCATGTGTCTCCTAGTCTTGCAGATAGCAGTGGGGAATCTTTCATGCTAAATCCCTCAATCTCCCCATTTTTGACTTCTAGACCTAGATTTAAGTGGTTGATAAGATTAGAGCTCTCCCATACTTTTTTTTTTTTAACCAAAGTAAGGGAACCCTTTATATTTCAGCAGGTGTGGAATGGCAGGGCAATGATGCTATTTTTTTTTTTTTCCAGAAAAATGACTTTTGGGGAGGCACACATTGGACAGTGTTTGCCATACTGATCAGACGCCCATGGTTAAGCATTTGTGTGGGTTTTCTTTGGAGTTTCTGGGATGCAAGCCTCAGAGTCCTTGCCCAGAGTCCCAGATATGAGGACCCCTGAGGCATAAGAAGGGACCTTCCAGAACCTTTACTCCCAGGTCGCCAGACCTGGCAGCTCCCTGGAAACCCAGGCGTCCCCACTCGCACCCAGCCGGGCCTGCGCTGCCCACCATGCACCTTGGATGGTTCTGTTGAAGAAGGCCTTGCAGGCCTTGCAGGAGGCCACGCCATATTGGTAGCCAGAGGCAATGTCCCCACACACGAGGCACAGGCGCTTGGGGATGGCATTGAGCATGTACTTGCACTTCATGGCCAAGTCCTCCATGATGCCGCTGCCACAGTCCTTTTGGGACAGGGTGCCTCCCAGCCCCGCGCCTGGAAACACAGGCGGTGAGTCCAGCCCATTGGGGTGGGTGCCCAGGGCCAGGCCAAAGCCACTGCTGGCCCCCAATGAGCCGCTGGGCCTGTGGTGGCTGAGGGCATCACAGAGCTGGATGGCTCGGTCTTGATGAAGGAGCCACAGCTGGAGCCCAGGTTCCGTCGTCCAAAGATATACCCTGTTCAGCAGCCTGTGGACACAGGGCAGGGTCAGTGGGCGGGGGCGGGGGCAGAGGCGGGCTCTCCCATACTCAATAAATAAATCAGACACGCATGGTTAAATATCCCGTGGTTCTCTGGTGTGAGAAACTGAAAGTGTAAGGACTAAAATGTATAATAGATCTTGTGAAATAGGAAAAAAGTGTTCAAATGGGAAGGGGAAATAGAAAGGGGGGGAGGGGAAAGAAAGGAAGACTAGAAGGAAAAGTGGATACAAAGCTTTTGTAAATAAGGAGGGGAAGAGGGGTTGACAGGGGAGGGAAAGGGGAACCAAAGAAGAGTCAAGAGGCCGGGGATTTACCTCAATGGTTCCGGCGCCTATCTCGAAAGCGCAAGGTCCCAAGTTCAATCCCTGGTACCAAAAAAAAAAAAATCAAGATGTATCATGTATAGGTACAAATTCCATATGATGAATGTTATCATTATGTATATCTAAAATGTACCAAAAAAGTTAATTTAATTTAAAAAAGATTAGGTCTTGGTCTTCCCTTTCCTATGAGAACTTTTCATCATCCCCCCAAAAAAGTCTCTACCAATCAAACAGTAACTCCACATTCTTTGCTCCCCCTAACCAACCTCTGGTAACCTCAATTCTACGTTCTGTATCTGTGAACTTGGCTGCTTTAGGTGGAGGCAGGCAGTATTGGTCATTTTTTGTCTGGTGTGTTTTACTTTACATACTGTGTTAAGGTTCATTTGTAGAATTTCTTTCCTTTGAAAGGCTGAATGAAATTTCATTGTTAATCTATACCACATTTTGTTTACCTTCCCTCTATTGGTGGGCAGTTGGGATGTTTCAGATTTCTCTCTCTTAAACCAGTTGATTTGGGATCTTAATTACATCAGTGAGATCCCTTCACAGCTCTACCTAGATCTGTCTTTATTAGAGTTGAATGGCAGGGAAAGGTGTGTGTACACCAAAGGTCCAGAATCTTGGGGCCCATCTTAGGTTTCTGCTTAACAGCTGCCATCTAAAAGGGCGGGGGATTTAGCTCAGTGGTTCTGGCGCCTGCCTGGCAAGCTCAAAGTTCTGAGTTCGATCCCCGGTACCAAAAAAAAAAACCAAACCTGCCATCTGGAGAGCTTATACTGCCTCTTCAGAGGAGCCATTTCTTTCCTTTATTATTTTTTTTCCAGTACCGGAATCAAACTCAGGACCTTGTCCTTGCCAGGCAGGTGCAGGCAGTGCCACTAAGCTACATTCCTGGGCCTCTTCCTTCCTCCCTTCCTCCCTCCCTTCCTCCCTTCCTTTTTTCTTTCTTTCTTCCTTTCTTCTTCATTTGTGGTACTGGGCCCTGAACCCAGGGCCTTTGCACTGAGCTATATCCCCAGCCCTTTTAAATATTTTTTTCTTTTGAGACAGGTTTCACCAAGTTGCCCAGGATGGGCTTGAACTTGCAACCCTTTGCTTCAGCCTTGCAGGGTGCTGGGATTACAGGCATGCACCACAACGTCCACCCCCATCTTGCCCTCCTTCATAACGTTAATCTATAAATTGCACAGCAGAGTTCTGGAAGTGGCATCTCATTTCACGGCCTGCCTTTCCAGCTGGGCTTTTCTCTGCTCGTGACTCCAGTTTCATGAAGGATGCATATTAATCACTCTTCAGCCTCCTGTGAGAGCGCTCTGGCTTCTTGTTCCCAGTATTACCTTTGACATGTTTCTTGAGGGTGGGCAAGTATGAAAAACCCCTTAGTAAGGCCAGTGAGGGTGAGGGAAAGGATTTCTATTTACTGTGTGTGATTATGTATATGTGCTGCCGAAGCAAGCACAACTGTATGTGATTATGATGTGGCAACACATACAAAATGAATTCTGTCTGTGCTCTATTGGGAAGAATTTTAGCACTGAGGAACCAGACAGTGGCACAGACTGTTTCATGTTAAAGCCACAAGAATGACACAGGATTTGAACTTGTCCAAATAAAGACAGTTTAGGGCTGTAACTGCCAGAATTAAAATGAGCCTCTTGCTTCAGCCTGAATGCAGATTCATTGGGCTCAGTGCAATCTTTTGGGAATTAGACATTGGATCCTGAAATGATGGTGTTCACCAGGAATTTAGAGCCCTTGGAAATGTTCTAGAGATTTCATATTGCATCTGAAGAGCATGTAAGAGTACAATATAACCTTGGATGTAGCAGCAATGGTATTTGTTTTGGGGTTTTTTTTTTTTTTTTTTTTTTTTAGTACCAGGGATCAAACTCTGGACTTTGGGCTTGCGAGGCAGGCAATAGAACCACTGAGCTAAATCCCCAGCCCAGCAATGGTATTTGAATAATGCCAGATGCTGAATGGCTTGAGGAGGGTCCCACGGCCTTTGGAAAGGCATGGGTGTGTCGTTGTGGGGGACCAGGCATGTGCATGTGGTGGTGGGGGCAATGTCTCCTTCCCTTTGGGAATGCTCTTTGTGCATAGTAGCTCCTGGTCGCTCTGTGCTACTCAGTCTCCCTGAGGGCTCTGAAACTTTTGTCTCCTCATTTTACAGTGTACCAAGTTGGTCATGCGTGGTCCTTATGTGAGGGTAGCAGATGTAACTGCTCTGTTGTCTGGATGTGAGATTTGGGTGGGAACTAGAGGGCTGTGAAAATATCCTCTGTAAGGAACTACAGTATCGATACTTAATCACGGGGGACTTCTTGGACAAGGGGCAGAGGAAGAGCCAGAGGGACGTCTGTCCTCTCTGGCCTGGCTGGGCTTGCTGGCAGCACTGAATCTGTGTTCTCTCTCACAGGCAACTGCCATGTCTGTGGACTGTCTGGGGCAGCATGCAGTGCTTTCTGGGTAAGTGAGCTTTTGGTTTGTCTGCTACAGTTTCTGGGGAACAAATTGCAAATCAAGTTTCTGGGAAATTGGGAAACATCCTTATATTTAACAGGTACAATGATAAGGTTTATATCTCACATCACAGTGAGCGCAAGGGCAATTGTAGGGATTTTTTTTGTGTGTGTGGTTTATTTTTGTCTCTGCCTAGCAGGTAAGCAGTAGCATTCCTTTGACATTTTAGCAACTGGTAGTTTGGTCTTGAAATTGCAATTTTCTGTTTTCTGCCCAGACTTCTTAAAAGAAGAAGTCCAGTGTGGTCAAGCAGGTATTTACTAGGATTAAGGGGATCTGGGTTCTAGTTTGGCAATTTCACTAAATTATGAGCCCATGGACAGTTATTCAGTTGACCTTAAATAGACTTTGGTTCTTTCATGGAAACATTTGATTTCAGCCGGGCAAGGTGGAGCATGCCCAGCGCTTGGGAAGCTGAGGCAGGATGGCTGTGAGTTTGAGGCCAGCCTGGGCTACATAGTAAGACCCTGGCTAAAAAAAAAAAAGAATTTGATTTCATCCAGAAGGATTTGAACTATAGTTTTCTGTAGTGGTTTCTAGCTCAAAAAGTATATTATTCTGGCAATTAAGGTCTCTCTCTGGCTTTGCTAATGATGCTGTTATTATACCAAAATAAAATTTAATGGACAGGGCCATACATCCCTTTCATAGTGCTTTGGATTTTCATTTAACTTAGTTTATTCATGGACTCATTTGCAAATAAGTGAAAGTGTTTTTTGTATTAACTGCATCATTTTATTTTGAAATTGTGTTTTAATTTACTTTTGGGGGGGCAAGATAGGGTCTTGCTGTGTGGTTCAGGCTGGCCTCAGATTCACATCAATTATCCTGCCTCAGTCTCCCCACTGGTGGGAATTCAGGTGTGTACCACTGTACCCAGCTAATTTACCTTTTAAAAAAGCACAGGGCCAAGGATCTAGCTCAGTGGTTCTGCCGCCTGCCTTGCAAGCGCAAGGTCCAGAGTTCGATCCCCGGTGCCAAAAAAAAAAGCACATGTGCATAGTAAACATTTAAATAATTCACAAGACTATACAATGAAAAATAAATTTTCCTCCTATCTATGACTACCTCCCCAGAGATATTAATTGATATTATTTTCTTGTATCATATTGTGTACATAGATAAGGAAGGAAATATTGGTATTTCTGTCTTTTGACTCTAGTTTTCTGCTCACTTTTTTTTTTTTGGTACCAGGGATTGAACTTGGGACCTTGTGCTTGCAAGGCAAGCACCGGAACCACTGAGCTAAATCCCCGGCCCCTATGGTCACTTTTTTGTTTATAAAAAAGCTTTATCGATGTATAATTAAAATACCATACGATTCACTCTTTTAAAGTGTACAGTTCAGTAGTTTTTTGTGTATTACATTATTATTTCCTACTCACTTTTTGAAGTACTTTTTAAACATCAAGGAAATACCTGTACATAGTTTAAAAGTTAAGTAGCAGTTCTAGGTTTATGTTGTAAAACAGCAATCTTGGGGTTGGGGATTTAGCTCAATGGTTCCGACACCTGCCTCACAAGTGCAAGGTCCTGAGTTTGATCCCCGGTACCACTCCCCCCACACCCCCAGTCCAGCAATCTCCACTTCACTGTTTGTCTTCATTACTTTTCTCGTTGCTAAGACAAAATACCCAACACCAGAAGTTAAAGGAGGAAAGGTGTATTTTGGCTCGCATTTGTAGAGATTTCAGTCCATAATTGGCTGGCTCTGAAGCAGGATGGCATGACAGAGGGGCATCACAGAGGAGGAAAAACAGTTCATGGCATGGAAGGCAGAAGGCAGGAGGCAGCCAAGACAGAAGCCCTCTTTCTGTCCCTTATATTCTATCCAGGCTACACGGCTTTAGGGGAGGTAGCACTCACACCCAGAGTGGGCCTTCCCATTATCCATCCCCAGAACTATGCCAAACTGATTAGTGGACCAATTTAATAATTACACACCCTTAATCCCAGCATCACACACTCTAGATTTAGCCACTGCTGAAAAGCCTTACCTATGACCACATGAAACTTTGGGGAGACATCTAGACATAAGCCACAACACTCCATCTCTGATCCCAGAAGGAATCACTTAAAATTCTTTAATTGTTTCAATTTTTCCTAATTGTATGTGTATTAGTCACTTTCCTAATTAGTCACTGAGACAAAATACCCAACACCCACAACTTAAAGGAGAGGTTTATTTTGGCTCACTGTTTCAGTGGTTTCAGTCCATGGTCAGCCAGCTCCATGGCAGAAGCAGCATGGTGGAAGGGCCTGGCAGAGGAGGTCTGCTCAACCCATGGCAGCCAGGAAGCAGAGAGAGAAGAGAGGAGCTGGGGAGAATACACCCTTTCACATCATGCCTCCAGTGACCCACCTCTAACCAGACTACACTTCCTAACAGCTTGTAAACTTAGCAGTGGGTGGATCCACTGATGAGTATAGTGCCCCATGATTCAATCCCCCTTCCAGATCCGCCCCCCCCAATATATGAGATCAAAATTATAGCATTTTAGCTCTGCCTTTTGATTGCCTACATTTTTCCAAATGGTATGCATATACCACCAAATTGGACTTATCCACGATAAATTGACTTCTCACAACAGAAGATGAAGGTCTGGCACTTTTACTGTGCTCTGTAGGTCCTTACATATCTACCTGACCTTTTCCATATTTCCAGTATAATTATCTAACAGTTATTGGGTTGAATCTATTTTTGGGGGTCCTTTTTCTCAGGGTTTGTTATAGAGAGGTCCTATGTCATTCTGATTCCAGGCTGTTTGTGACCTGGTTTTTTGGGGTTTTTTTGGTACTGGGGATTGAACTCAGGTCCTTGCGCTTGTGAGGCAGGCAGCAGAACCACTGAGCTAAATCCCTGGCCTTCCATTTCGTTTTTTTATATTGAATTTTAGAGTATGTGTGATAAAATTATAGACTACACTAATCTGAAATAAACAGTTAAATAAATTTACAAATATATAACCTAATCACCATTCAGATTAAGATACAAATTTTTTTTTTAACACCTTGGGAAGTCCTTCCAATCTAGATGTTTGTGTCTTTGTTGGGAGAAATTTTCCTGCATTGTCTTTGAGCCTGTTAAATAGTATTAGATTTCCCATCCAAGTACTAACCAGGCCTGAACCTGCTTAGCATCCAGATCAGACGAGATCGGGCATGTTCGGGTGGTATGGCTGTAGGCAACGGTATTAGATTTCCTCTCTGGAGTCTCTTTTGGCCTTTTCATCCTTTTGGTTGTAAATTTTTAATTTATTTATTTATTTTGCGATATTGATGATTGAACCCAGGGATACTCTACTACTGAGTTACATCCCTAGCCGTTTTTATTTTTTATTTTGAGTCAGGGTCTCAGTAAGGTGTCCAGGCTGCTCTTAAACTTGTGATTCTCCTGCCTCAGCTTCCTGAATACCTAGGATTACATGGATACACCACTGCACTATTGAGTCTTCAGTTTTAATTTCCAAACCTCCTATCAGGTTTTCTTAAATTGAAACTGTTAACTTTCAGAAGTTTTCTAGATTTTTAAAAATTTCAACTATTATTATTATTATTTTTTTTTTTTTGGTACTGGGGA